TTTGTAAATTTAAAATTAAGATATTAAAGTTCTGAATTTTAATTTCTTAAAGTCAGTGATGTTTCTATCAGTTCATTGCATACGTAAACGAGTAATATATGAACTTAAGACCGAAGGTTTCCTATCCATGCTCCAGATTGTAAAATAATTTTGTGAACTTCTGAATAAGATAGTTTTTTAGTCTGATCTCTTTTCATTTTTATCTTAAAATAAATTCAATAAATTTAAACAAAAATTGGGAATTGCGATCAGGGCGGTAGCAATGACTGCACTCATTCAATGCACTCAGTTCTCATTCGAACTCAGTCCTTTGTAGTAAAACATGAATATTCGGTGTTTTAATGTGTCCAACTAATTTTTTGAGAATGACAGGCACGAAGGACAATACGATAACAGATACTTCCAATGTTGTGACAATCGCATTGTTTTTTGCAACATCAGATTTACTTTTGGGTGAGAATAGCTTTACTCTCGATGAAATGCCACCAAAGCTGGTTTGCGGAAAAACGTCATGCAGTCGATAAACAAGTTAAAATAAAAGTTTTTTGATATGAAAATGTTGAACTTGAGTTAAGGTTAAAATTCATATAGATAATTATATATATTTACAATATGAATGGTAAATATATGAATAGTACATTCGAATAGGTTTAAAAATGTTGCTCTAATCTGTTGCTCTTATATTTTATATTCACAAATTGTTTCTAATTTAATCGAATTTGGTAGTTGTTGTTAGATTTTGTAATAAATTTAGACAATAAGTCGTGATAAGCCTTTAACGGAGGAAGAAAAAATCATAACTAAAGCAATTACGAAATGCCGGTGATTAACGGCATATTTAAGTTTAAGAAAAAAAAGGATCAATGCTAATCTCGCAATTTTTAAAAATTTATAGTATTAAATATTTAAAGACACTTTTTCTTTTTTTTTCTCTTATCTTGCAGTTCTAGGGGACCAGTATATAGTTGTCAAAAGCGTTCCATTTTCGTTATTCTGACACATATTTAAATTGTTATGGTCATTGCTCTATTATTTTTTCCGTCTACGTCTGCTACGCCTAAAAATCGGTGCCCTTATAAGAATATGTTTTGCCATTTACATGATGTGAATACTTTGTATATGTCTTTATCTTTTGATCCACTAAGCTTAAATGTATTTTATCACTCTCCACGCATGCACTATGCAATCTTGATTGTGATTGAAACTGAATCGGTGTAACTCTCAATTTAGTATTATTAGGACATATATTCTCTTAACTTCTCTTCTCTATCATACCAGAAGGTTGTTTATTTCATATGATTTAATTGTTACCTTGGAATCTCTTATGTAAAACTAGGCTAATTAGGGTTCTGCATACGGATTCTCTAGTTACTTCACAGAGTTTAAGACTTGAATGGCTTTATGAGTGTAAAGAAATTTCTGCTCGCAGCTTGTACAGGCAACCATCTGTACACTGAAAATAATTTTATGGGCATCAATTTTTTGTACAAAATAGTTTAGTTTTGGGTTAAAAATTAAAGAGTCAAAGATGTCATCCTAAAGATGTCATCATACACTTTATATCAGTTTAATTGTATTAATAATTTATCATGGTACTCTGCTCGTGGTATTCATCCGTGTCATTTTAAATAAACTGATCAATTTTTTTGGTATTCCATATATTAACATAGGACACTTCAAAACACTAAATTGGATAAAACATTATTCACTGCTATTTTTAAAGATATATAACATCAGTTTTGTCATGAAAACATCGTGTGGAAAAAGAATTGGCAACGGCTAGTTTTTTTTTTTTGCCGGAAACACTTTTAATTTTTAAATACCTGAAAGATACAACTTTGTGTTTATGATTTGAGATAAGAACATCGTTTACGTCTTCTCTACAGCTTTGAAGATGGTTTAATAGGTAATTTGTTATTATTCAACATGTGATCTTTACTCTCCCAAATTAAGAATTAACGCTAATTGTTATAAAACTCTAATTGAATAAGCTTTCAAATGGATATATCGTAATACTGACCTAAATTGATTCAGCAAGTGTGTTAAAAAAGTACAATGTAAGTTAAAATAAACATTTATTGGAATGACCTTAATAATCCATAATATTAATATTATAATATACTTATATTATACCTTCATAATATTAATATTATTAAAAATTTATGAACATTACTTTCACAGAATATGTATGGCTCAGACGAACAATATGAAGGTGAGTGAAAGTTGGTAACCGTTATTTAAGAAGTTTGGGTCAAGACGCTTCTGCAATAATTGAGTAATTTTATAATTCTATATCCAGATTACTAATATTAATAAAAATGTTAAAAATACAACGTCAAAAAATGAAAAACTTATGATTATTAATTATTATATAATACCATTATTATTATTATCATTACCATTATCTCAGATATGTATATGAGAATGTATACCACCTTCTTCTAAATTGTTTCTATGCTTCTGTGCTTCTTCTTACACAAAAATATCATAGGAAATTTTGGTGCACATTTTCAAAATTGCTTTATTTGGCAACAAAGTTCTAAACGTATGTCAAACAAAACTTTCATCTAAGACATCATGTGTTTAGTTTAAAATTTACCACTTTAGAATATGGATCGTTTATCAACCACTGAATATATTTCAAAAAATTGAAAGTATGAAGATTTGTGGTTTCAACAGGGCAGTACAACAAGCCATACAATATTACCCATTTTGACTCTGTTATTTCCTTCCCGAACGTGTAACTTCATGTGCTATCAATGTGAATTAATAACCAAGACTATTTAGTGACGGGTTGTGCAAAGGATCATGTTTATGTCGACAGACCTAACACTCTGGACGCTTTGCAGTATTTTGAGTACTCTGGAGGCTTTGCAGTATGGCTATTAAAGTCTTTCATCGTAATGTAATCATTTATAATTTTCAGTAAAATAGAGGACAAAGATTTATTGATAATGAATCTGATATATATTGGCAGTGAAGAACCAAATACTATTCTCGTCGAAAAGTGACCATAAATAGCTTGTAATATTACTTCACTTTATTTAAAATAAATTAATAACATATAGTTTTAAATATTTTATCATTCCATTAATAGAAACTATTCCGCATTAAAGTATATATGTACTTTGTTGTCTCATTCAAAAGATTATTAGCGAAAAAATTAAAATAGTGTGAAAAATTTATTGTAAATAAGTATTTTTATTAAAATGAAATTTTATATCCGACTATATATTGGCGTATATTACAGCAGCACATTTCATCATAAACTCCGTTATTGGACTTAAATTTCAACGATTTCCACCCGTGTTCAAGCACGTGGGATTTTTATTCTTGAGTTTAGCGTTTAAGATAAAATTTTCCTTGCCTGACCCGCATGTAGGTTCATCTTTTAAAACATTGCTTGCAACATGTTGAAGTGCGGTTGTTTGACTACATATTTTAGGCGCCATCGTTTATGATGCGGCATTCTGTGATGTTGTGATAAGCCTTGTTAACACAATTGTAAGCATTGGTTTTTATTAAAGATAACTTCGTCTTCCTTTGTAGTTTAGTTGCGATTCGGTGTAAATTTTATTTACATTATTAAAAGGAATAGGAATAAAATCACTTAATAGTCTGCTTGTGGCATTTGGAGAACTATGTTAGTATGCAACAATACTATATTACAGTGTAGCAAGGATAAAATAATATTGCAACTAAACATGAAAATACCTATTGAAAAATATTAGTATATTGTTTTTATTAAAAATATTTAAGGGTACATAAAAAAGTAATCGGAATTCTATTAATTGTTCTACAAATTGATAAAGTCTTTAAGAATAACCTTACAGATTATATTATAATCTTATTGATAAATACTTGGGCTTGATTCCTATTACATAGAAACGTTGATTTAACATCGGATTTAAGTAAAAACAGCTATTTTGAGCAATGGTGTCCACTACATTATATGTCAATATATTTCAGTTTTCGATATGGCTTTAAAGTTAGAAATTGTTTATATTAACAAGTAATGCCACTTCTTTCTACCAAAAGGAAGTAGATATTATAATTTCTGCACTGAAAGGTATTTATTGAAGAAATAACAGTCAGAAATTTTCTTTGAAAGGTGGGAGCACAAATTTATAAAGTCTTCTTTAATCTTAATGATCTTAATGATTTTTTTTGGAAAGGTGGGACCATATAGGTTAAAAATTAATTTAATTATATTTTAAATGAGTTATTATCCTCTATATACAACTTTTTATACTTGGTCGAAACTTGGAGACTTAAAAAAATTAATAATATGATCATTGATATTGGTATTTATATAGCCGGGGATTAGGGATTTTTCATCAGCCTCATTATAAAAAGCTATTTTAAATTTATTGTCATATTTGTAACACTGTGAAACAGATACTGGAGTTTGAATAAAATATGTGTATGTTTTATTGATCAGTTTTACTGACAAGATGCAGCGATTTAGTGATAACAGTTAGTACTAGGATTGTGCCCATGGGGTGATATACCAGAAAAGATGTTTTGATAATATTTTTGTAGTTCACTTAATTTTTGTGTCATATATATTTATCATATATTTTATCAAGAGTCATTTAACTCTGAAAATCTTTGAGAGTGAAGCTAGAACGGAAGAGGAAAAGGAAGACCGAGAAAGAGATGGACAGTGTCCGACAAGATCTGAATAGATATGAAGGTAATGAACTGGAAGATAAAAGCCACAAATAAAGAACAATGGAGGAATGTCGTAAAACAAGTTGATGACCTTACTCTGAACACACAACTGGTTAGCAGATAAACTAGTTGCCGCCTTTTTAGATCACATACATGAAACTTTATGCAGAGACTTATTACGATTTCAGATAGGTAAAGTTGATACATGAATCAAATATTTTTAACTGTAGTAAGTAATATTTATGTAGAATGACGATATAAATAAGGTCATGTTTATATATATAAATCAAATTTGAAAATATAGCTGAAAAGAATTTAATAAGTAAATAGCATATAAATGACTTGTATAGAACTGTAAATATAGTCTTAAAAAAGAGGCTAAAAATTTTTCTATAAAACAAATATAATCATTATATATAGTTAATGTTTTTTTCCTCAATAATATTTATTTATGTCTCACATCAAATTGAATTAATGTTTTACTTTCTGAAAAATATTAAGCTAATTTTAGTATTGAATTCAAATTTTTATACATGTTTTTCTTATCTTTATTTTTAATTATAAAGTGTTTTCTTTAATTGCTGTACATAAAACACTTCTGTGCTTAAATATACTTTAGTAATTAGAGGTTTAATTGCTTATAAGTAATTATTTGGTAACAATGTAATTTCATATGTTTATATAGATAATATCTTTTCAAAATGACATAAAATATATAATTCATGTTTTATTTGTCATGAAAAAATGTGAGAGCATATGATAGTTACTTTCTCTGATTTAAGATTTTAGGGAAGATTTTTTACACAGAATATTTCAAAAACTTCAAACTTCAACTGTTCCCACCCAGAATAGCTGAAATGCTGAAAGCGTTTCTTTTAGTTGGAGATTTTACAGAATGAATATTTGATTGCTGTTCTTGAATTTCCAATGTTTCATCCGATGATTTCGAAGAGGCTTCTATATCGACTTCTGCATTCGTTTCTGATTCATTGATGTTAATTCTAACATCATCAGTTTCAGTATCAGAGTGTAATTGCATAGATGCAAGTTGAAATGATTCCTGCACATCGAACTTCGTATTAGTTGTTAAATTGTTTGGTTCTGCTTCATTAACCAAAAGAGTGTGCTGGGAGTAAATGTTAGGTGGATATAATAATTGTGGTCTGTTGAAATACGTACAAGCTAAATCAGCAATAGAAGGTCGCAATAGTGTTTGCATGTTCTGTTGGAAATTGTGCATAAAAGTTGATGTCGTTCCAGCGCCAGTGCTAATGCCACGATTCCCAAAGGCAAGCGTTAAATTAGGCGGCTGGTGGCAACCATGTGCTGATATATGCAAATCATGGTCTGCTTTTAAAATTGGCGCTCTGCTAATCTGGTCGATTTCGCTAATACCACTAATTATGTTAATTTCTTCTTGCGACGTTGTAGAGCAAGCGGAACCATTTGATTTTATGCGTTTAATTTGTTGACTAATTTCAAAATCGTTGGTTTCGGGCAAAGCTCCTAATGCAGTTTTATCAAAACAAATTGACGGAACCGAATCACTACTGTTCGTTGTTGAATTGGATTTCATCGGCGACAGATCACTTTGTTGTTGTTGTAAAAGTCGTTGTTGTTGGCCTTCCTGTTGCATATTATTATCATGATCTTCATTGGAGGGTGATGAAGACATTTTACGCTTGCATCGCGACTGTCCAGTTTCACGAAAACCTTTTGCAAATGGATTGTTGTCGATTTTTAATTTTGTGATGCGATCATTCTGTGAATTTATAAAAATAAAAATGAATACATTGAAATATACTGTTTATTTCATTCACTCATTTTAATAATTCCCTCATTTTTTGAGATTTTTGGCAGATATCGTTACTAAATTGTGTGAAATATGATAATAGCGTCTTCTATAAAAGTGTTAAGTAACAAAAAAATGTTGAAGCTGTACTTTTTCACCCATAAAATCATTCAGATTTTAGGATGACTTGACAACTTTGAGACACAGACAGTGAACACGCTAATTAGGCACCGACAAACTGACGTCTGTATTGAACTAATTTGCAGCCAAGTGGCCAGACAGACAGACAGGATATATGAGTACTACTTTAAAATCGGTGTATGAATGCATATGCATGAAAAACTCAGCAAGTGCACAATTATGCCACTTAAATATTTCGGTTGTTAACAAGGATGATGGTCGTTTTCCTAAAACAACAGCACCAATCCACTTTGTAATGGAAAGATGAATGAGTGTAGGCGTGTATTGTTAATTTGTATAAGTTTTAGCTGCTGTGCTTTTGTCTCTTAGCCAATTTGGTAAATTTTTAAAAGCATTTACTTTGGCTAATCAATTAAATTATATGTTTTGGGAAGTAGTATGTGTTTTTATAGGCGATTGCGGATACTGTGGCATATGTTAAGGTTAATTAAATAGGTTTCCCTAAATCGGATATTAGTGTATTAACAGTTAACTTACCTGATAGGCAGTGACTGCTACAAACTCAGTTTCTGGAAATAAGAATGCTTGTTGCGGTGCCCACGGTATCTGCGTTAGATCCGCCGTGCGAATGATATGGATGCGTGGCTGATACTTGTGCATACTCGCCAATACAATCTGAAAATGAAGAACAATCATTTTAATTATTAATATTAATTAATAAATATTTAGTAATTCTAAAATTTTGACGTAATTTTGAAGTAAAAATTTTATAAATAAAAACATAAACAACTAATGCAGGTGGTTAAACGTGGAGCAGTAGTGTCGAGTCGATATTGTCGACTAGGAAAAGTCGCTATAAGAAGTGCTAGAAAAGTCAATATATGAAAAGTTCAAGTACATGTTTACAAACCTAAATGAGTATTATGAAAAAATCTATTGATGTTTTAAGCACTTTGATATCAAGAGGTTCCTTCTTACCATATAACACACCTAACTATCTGCCATTGCGTTTTGTTTAATACTTATAAAGTTGGGCGTATATGGTTTTAAATCGTTCTGCATTTTGGAAAGTCATTGAGTCTTTGAGTTTGGAATATTATATTTAAAACTAAATATACAATTTAGGAAATAATTTTACTATAAAAAAATATTATTTTATTATATTATAATATATTAAGAATTCGTGTTATATTAAGAATTTAGTGTCTTTCGTCAAAACGGACGTTAAAAATCAATTTAATATATAATTAATATATAATTTAATATATAATTATAATATAATAAAATATGTATAGAAATATTTATTCAACTGTCCAGCTTCGCCTGAGCGAATCGTGGAGTGTCATTAACATGACTTTTTCCGTTGTATACTCAAGAAAGAGTAATAAAATCATGCAATAAATATTGCCTCTACACAAAAGAAATAATTAATTAATTTAAAGATTCTACAGCTGGCTTATGATTTTGTTCTAATATAACACACCAAATAAATTTTTTAATGAACTTTTACAGCAAATTTACAAAATTCCAAGTTTGAACATATAAGTCAAGTACGTCTTTGGGTCAGTTGGATAATGAACACAGACTCTGAGCTTCAAATTTGGTAGGATACGAATTCAACACTTGGAACTTGCAGTCTCAAAAAATTATATACGAATTAATAAATATAAGAAATAATTCCTAAACCACAGATGATGGATATTCGACAATACTCGATACAATTGTATAGTCAACCAAAGATTTAATTAAATAAAAATAATATACAAAAAAATGTTTGTTGTTGCAATTTCACTATTGTTCGATAGAAACCTCTCTAATGAAAATAATAGTTTATATTAAAAATTATTTTCTTTCGTCAAAAAGAGGGTTAAAAATCAATAAAATATTATTATAAAAACATTTTTACCAAGCTTCTAACCGCGAACCGCTGTTGTCACGAATGAAGTCGGGTTATTTTTGAATTGTATTATAAGATATAATGAAATATGAATATAAAAATGTTATTTAAAAATCGTCCTATTAAACAATCGAATTCCACAAACTTTACTACAATTGTAATTTTGATTTTGAAGTCGATATTAATTAAGGGGAAAGCGTTTGTAACGTATTTATCGCATAGTTCTGATTTTGCACTTTGAGGTGATTGATTTATTTTGGGGATTTAGATCTCAATCGTACATCGCTTATTGAATTTTATGACAGATTAGACAGGCCATAATTGTCTGAATTGGTAATATTTTCGTTTAAGGAGGTACTAAAATATTTTTGTGAACTCTATCTGAACTATGGTAATTAGAGACATTTTTTTTGTTATATTTTATTAATCGTTTTTATATAATGACAGTTACAACAATTGTATTAAGTAAATTTGTCAATATAATATGACTACATTAATACCTCGAAATGATTGCACTTCACTGAAAGATATACAAGGGACTTTAAAAAATTTGTAAATGCAATTGTTTAATATTTCAAAAAGATTGGGCGTCAATGCAGTTTTCACCATCATTGTTTAAATTATATAATTAAAATTATTTGGGTGGTTGATTTTAAGAAATATTTAAAGGAAATTAAAGCATATAATAAAATGCAAATATAAATTAAAAAGTTTGCAGTGTTGTTAAATCAGGTGAAATAAAGCTCACATATATAGTGAGCTGGATTGATAATTACCTGAGTTCACAACTTATATAGTGAGCTGGATTTATAATTACCTGACTTCACAACAGGTGAACAAACGCCAAAATAAAATCAATTATAAATTTTATATATTATATATATCCTTTTTTTCTTTTTTATATAAATAAATTATATAGGTATATCGTTTTAAACTACAGCTGTGAAATTTTCAACTTCATCAGATATTTGGTTATCTTTTTGCAAAATAATTGAAATAGTGAACCTTGGTAATTTTTTATAGAATGAAAAAAATTGAATATCATTCAGTAAAAATATTCCAATGAACAATGATGCAATCTAATTTAATTGGAAATTGATTCTGTTTACGCGTTTGTTCACAATTGATCAAAAACAACAACGACTTCATCATTCAAAACATTGTTTGGAAATGTTTATGTACAATCTAGTTGACTGTAAGCTTTGAGTAGTGCCAATTGATGAAACATGGTTCCATTACTTCACACCTGAGAGAAAACAACAAGCCAGAGAATGGGTCGAGTCCGGAGGTAGTGCT